GAGTGTTTTTCATAAATATCTTTTGAAGATATTTTATTTCAGGTGTTTTTAAGAAAAATTTTTTGGAAGATATTTTCATTTTTGGTTATTAGTGTAGTTATCACTTTTTGGAGGGGCCACTATGAAATTAATAAAAGTTATTGCAAAAATGCCTTGTTTTGAGCCTGGATCCTTGTACAGGATTCATTTTCACTTTTCGTCGACTCTCATACTCTTAGAATTTTCTTTTGGTCATTTTTCTCCAGTTTTAGGGTTTTTGGCCCCTATTGCCTTCGAACTTGTTCGAAGCATATCTTTTTGCTCGGAAATTAGTTTTTAACGTTGTTTCTTACATTGTTCATCTTTTCTCATTTCGGTTCTTTTTCGTTCACAGAGTTTTTCCATTTGAGCACGTCTGCGCGAATTCCACTTTTCCAGACTCGGCGGGGCCCGTTGGGGGCACTTTTTGAGTTTTTCTATAAATAGGGGGTCTTAAATTGAAAAATCAGATTTCGTTCGCTCTCTCCCCTCTCTTGGCCGGATTCCATGGCAGCCATGGGCTGCCACATTCTCCCTCCTCTTTTCAGCCTCTTCCCTTCAATGAAACGCTATAGTGCCTTAGTGTTTTATATTTGCCTTGGCGAGGCCTTCGATTCCACCAATTGGAATCTCATTTTGGCCATTTTTTGAGTTCGGGTTAGAAGTCAAGTTATGATTTTGATGGGGCTTCCTTGGGGTTCATGTTCATCGTGTTGTCCCTGACAAAACCCCGAAGTATCGTCTAATTCGAAGCATTTACATTTTGGTGGCTTTTGAGATTTTCAGCTCAAATTGAGGTAAGGGGTGTCTTAAGTTTATATTAATGTTGTATTGATGATTTTAGAAGTTTATACAGCTTGTATGCATGTTTTGGTTTAAGTGCTAGAATTTAATTTAATTATTTTCTATGGTTAAGATTTAATTCTCATGATGATATACAACTTAGAATTAAATTGTGGCATGCTAAAAAATTTGGCTTTAGTATGTTTGTTAACATATATTAAATTGGGATTATTTGAATAAAATTGCATTTTTTATTTTATAATTTCCTTTTGTGAAAGTTTAATTCTCATGAACGTACCTTGCATAAAATTAACTTGTGATATACTTTTAAATTAAGTCTTGGCATATTCTTTAACATACTTTTATTTGAGAACATTTGGATAAGTTTGAAAATCTAGAGATTTTAATTAAAAGGATTAATTAAAATCTATTTAATGGTTCCATTGGCTTAATTAAGTTTTTAATTTGATATTTTTGATAACTAGGACTTGTATACTAGCATATATTAAATTGGGACCATTTGATGTTGTTTTAGAATTTTGGGATTTGATTATTATGATTTAATTAAATTCCATTTTATTGTTCCAATTGCCTAATTAAGTTTTTGATCTGATGCATGTAGTAATCAAGTTATGTCGTTTAACATGTATTAATTAGGAATCATTTGATTGAGATGTGAAACCTAGAGAAATTAATTAGTTATTTGATTAATTTTCGTTTCTATTGCATTACTGATTTAATAATGTGTTTAACATTGGGAGTATGTTTAAATCATGATTTTAGACTTGTAATGGATTCATGAATTTATGTTTTCAATATTGAATTTTATTGTTATAGCGTGTAACGAATCGCACACTGAAGATTCGACATGTGATGTTGTTATAGCGTGTAATGAATCGCATTCTGAAGATTTGACATTTGTCATCCTATAGTAGTTGCGGATTTAGAGTTTGTATTATGTGGTTTCAACCTACTTGTACATGAAAGGTAGTTTCGTGCATTACTTAAATTGTGTATAAGTTGTGAACTTATTTCTTTTGATTTTGGAGTCACTTGGGACATTATTACGATGTTTATGGCTAGAGTTTGGCTTTAGTGCGAGAGGTAAGAGTTCTCCCCATTTTGTATAGTGCGCACTAGGGTGGTATTCCCAGCGGGTTAGTGCCTGGAATAACCGTTTAGGTCTTGGCTTTATCTGAGATTTATTGTCCAAGTATTCTACTATTTATTTTCGCATTCAATTTCAAGTTGACAACTAATGTTTAATTGTGACTTATGGTTTTGGTTATTGGCGATTTAATGTTGTTAAGTACATTTATGTATTACGATTTGTAAGGAATCATCGCATATTTTTAATGTTGTTAGGTACATTTATGCATTATGATTTGTAAGGAACGATCACATGTTTTTAATGTTGTTAAATACATTTATGCATTATGATTTGTAAGGAACGATCACATGTTTTTAATATTGTTAAGTACATTTATGCATTATGATTTGTAAGGAATCATCGCATGTTTTTAATGTTGTGAAGTACATTTATGCATTATGATTTGTAAGGTATCATTGCATGTTTTTAATGTTGTTAAATGTATTTATGCTTTATAATTTTTAATGAATCATCGCAGTTTTGATGTTGTTAAGTACATTCAGGCATATTAATTTTTAATGAACCATTGCAGATTTTGATGTTGTTAAGTACATTTATGTTAAAATGATCAAATGTAGCTTAGGAATGATCCTAAAGATTTATTTGGAACATAGACGTTAGGTGGCGTGACCCACTTTAATTGTTTTCGCATTTTAGATTTCAAGTAGATAACTTTGAGAATCTATGTCTTGTTGCCTTGTATAACATGCTTCTATGCTATTTAAATTACATGAATGATGTGATTTATGCTAGAAATGATCTAAGGTAGCTTAGGATGCTCCTTGAGTCTCACCTTTGACATAGACGATAGGTCTTTGCATGCTCATCTCCTATGAGTAGCTTTATGTTACTCACCCCAAAGTTACCGAGGACATTTTTCAGGTATAGGAATCAAGGTTGAGATTCTCGTTATGCTTAGACGATTTGTGGGCTTGAAGGTTCCATTCTTGTAAAGGTTGGCTTGAAATGCCACTTGTAGCCCTTTTTGTCAAATGTGTATATTTGATTCGAAACATGTAATGTGTCCATAAGCACACCTTTTGACATTCATTTTATGTGTATGTAAAACATGAGGCCAAGGGCCATTAATTTTGAAGTTCACAAGTGTGTTTTTAAACTTGTTTTGGATCATTGAGAATGCATGTATAGCCTCAAGGTTGCCTTAAACTTGCTTACTGTTTTATCGTTCGGCTGTTTTCTCGTTTCTGTTTTGTCGTTAGGCAAATTGTTGCCTTCTGTTTCATCGTTTGGTAGTCAGACGTCAGAACGTCTGAACGCTTGAACCTCTTATCAGAACACCTGACCATGTAGGTTAGAACGTTTGAACGCTTGAACCTCTTGTCAGAACGCCTGACCATGTAGGTCAGAACGTCTGAACGTTTGAACCTCTTGGCAGAACGCCTGATCATGTAGGTCAGAACTTCTGAACGTTTGAATCTCTTGGCAGAACGTCTGATCATGTAGGTCAGAACGTCTGAATGCTTGAACCTTTTGGCAAAACACTTGGACCTTTTGTCAGAACGCTTGACTATGTAAGTAAGAACGTTAGAATGCTTGACCATGTAGGTCAAAACGTCAGAATGCAGGACCATGTAGGTCAGAACGCTTAACTATGTAGGTCAGAACGTCAGAATGTCAGAATGCCTGACCATGTAGGTTAGAACGTCAGAATGTTAGAACGTGTGACCACGTAGGTCAAAACGATCGACTTTGTATGAGTGCCGAACGGGTGCTCAGTGTTGATGAATGCTGAACTGGTGCTCAGAACCCTTCTTTTCTTTTTCTTTGACCATCTTTCACTTCCGCATTTCAGATCCGTTATTGAGTCATCTTTTGGTCATCACTGATGCACCGGGTTTATCAAAACTTGGTCCGTCACATGCATCACATTTGAGTACTTATCAAAGTTCAAAAGGAGGTACAACATATGGTGCTCAGTATGGAATGGGTAAAACCTATCATAAAATACATTAAAGAGGGAGAACTTCCTAAGGACAGAAATGAGGCCCTAAATGTTAAATTTCGGGTAGCAAGGTATACTCTCATCAAAGCGGTGTTGTACAAGAGGGATTTTTCTTTACCTTACCTGCGTTGCGTCTCAATTAAGGAGGCAAGGTACATTCTAAAAGAGATACACAAAGGAGATTGTGGAAATCACATTGGGGGCAGGTCTTTAGCACGCAAAGCTATCCGACAAGGGTATTATTAGCCTATTATACAAAAGGATGCTACGGACTATGTGAAAAATGAAAAAGGGATAGGTCCTCACAGTTGAGAAAGGCACAGTGGGAGATTTGACGATGTACTTGACCTTGAAAATGATATATATATATATATATATATATATATATATATATAAAAGAGGGAATTAAAATTAGTTAGAAAGGGCATTCAAGTCATTTTAGGTGGTTGTTGACAAGTCAAGGGGTATTTAAATCATTTCATCTGACTGTCAATATGGCAAACCTCAGAGGGTGTAAGAAAGAATTAAAATTAGGGTAAAGTGCAAAAAAACCCCCTAAACTTTACTCTCTCTCTCAAAAAAACCTCCCGAGCTTCTATTTGTACAATAAACCACCTAAACTATCTCTTTTTTAGCTAAAAAAGACCCGGCGACACTGTTCCGTCATCCCATTATCACGTGACCTAAGCTATATTTTCAAAATGACAGTATTACCCTTTGTTTACTAAGTGAATAATAAATGAATAAATGAACTTTTTTTTCCTGGCAAACAATCAGGAAATACAGGCAATATAGAGAAAACGGCAAGGATAAGAGTTTCCATTACAAATATGAGCAAGGCCCAAGCCTCAAATTGTTGATCACCATCACCATGTGTGTTTATGTATATATATAGATATCATATAATGTTATATTGGGCATAAAGTTGAAAACCATAGCTCAATTTTTCTTACTTCTTTCAAACCTTATTTAACTCATTTTTTAGAAGATGAGAATGGCCGAATCATTAGTCACTGAAAGGGAAAGAAAAAAAAAAAAAAAACCTAAAATCTTAGCCTAACAAGAGCAAAATCTAAACATAAAATAGAATACCAAAAGAACCAAAAATTATCCTCAAATCAATGGAAACAATCAAACTATCAACACTGATAGGTGGGAGTGTCTTAAACCAAAGAATCTACAAACCCATCACCCACATACTACTCCATACCACACGAGCCCATAATTACACTCAATTCTCAAAACAAAGCTTTTTTTGTCCAAATCTTCAAACCCAACAACTGTGGATAGCTCAATTATGGCAGCGGCGGATTCTAAAAATTCATATAGAAACAATAGCCATGGCTGCCAGGAGAGGACAAGCGGTAACAACAACATCAATATCCAGAGCTTCACTCCATCAATGATTTAACTATGGTTGATTCTCCAAATCAGGTACCAGCCATAATATAAGGAGGACACGATCGGCTGCCAGAGAACAAGAGCAGAGAGCGAGTTATGTACATAAGGGGCTATTTAGCACTAAAATAAGAAGTGGTTAGAAGGTGATTGTGATAAGGCTATGTGTTGTCACATTGCCATTAGGTTTTGAGATTTTATTTTGACACATGATCAACATCAGTTACTAAATTTGACACGTGATCAACATCAGTTACTAAAGCAATAAAACGGTGTAGTTCTACAGAAGGGTAAGATAGTAATTTAATATCTCCGGTGACCTCAGATAATAATAATTTTTGATTTTGTCCTTAAAGTGTACTTTCTTAATAGTTTAGGGGGCAATTCTTAATTTAGGGGGGTTTCTTGGGGGAGAGAGTAAAAATCAGGGGGGTTATTTGCACTTTACCCTTAAAATTAACAAGTGACAAGTAAAATATACAGCATTTTCGTTAAACATTTATTAAAAATGACAGGTTGCTGCAAAGCAGCAAACAAGCCTCTCTTCCTCCGGCTAGATAGCAGCAGCATTAGCGGTAAGTGTTGAAAGAGGACTTGGATCCAATGAAGCGTATGAGCGAAGCTCTAGGTCATGTTGGAGTATGTCCATCTCTTGTTCATCCAAATTCACCCATGCTTCTATTCCATCACCACATCTTGTTTCCATCAAAATGTTGAGATTCATGAAAACACTTGATCCACCTAAAGTAGCACCACCAACCCATATAGGCTTTCCCCACCCAAATTCTACTTCATAGAAACCAAACTTACACCAACTAGTAAATCCAAAGAAATCAACTCCTTGTTTGGAGGAGCCCATATCTCCAATCTTTTTAAAAGATTTACGAATATTCACAGCCGACCCAGCGCCTTCATTAATATGGGCAGCTGATGATCTTAGTTTTTTCACGAAGTCCCCATTGATTTTCGATATTGCTACACGTAGCTGAGCCACCAAGGTATGAAGTCCCAGCTGCTGCTCATCATGCTTAGCCGGCGGCATGTATTGGGCACTTGCTATCCAAAGGAGGTTTCCCATAGAATGTTGAGACAAGGGAGGTGAAGCTCGTGTGCGTAGATTCACCAGGTGAGTGAGTAGAGAAGGCCTTTTGGAACCGCGTTTTTGGGCAGAGGCGGCCATAGCGCATTTCCATATCAAAGCAGAGACTGCCTCCACACGTGTGGGGCATGAGCTGGTGGTGGTGGCGGAGGTGGTTGCTTTTGCCTTGAGGGTGGCTATTGCTGAGGATTCAAATACAAACCTCCTTGTAACGCACTTGCCTTTCTTGAACAAAGAACCCCACATCACACTTGATGAATCTCTTAACCATAAATCGTCATTTGATGGAAAGAGAGAACTAGTTGCAACAAAATCAGGATATATAACATTAGTGGACGACGAGGCTCGAGCCGTGGCAGCCCAGGATCTAAGAAAGGTGCTGAGTGCAGATCCATCCATGATTCTGTGGGAAATGCACAATCCGATGGCAATTCCACCACATTGAAAGATGTTAACTTGAATGTTAGTGACCACCCGTGGGGTAGTTGGTAGGACAGCAGCAGCAGCACAGGGGAGCAATTGATTTATGAAGTGGAGGTCTGGGTGGTCTAGAAATTTGAAGAGACGACAGTTAACCTCAGCCTCCGCATAAGAAGCCCCTTCGTCATTACAGTCAATAGAGAGATCGTCGTGTCCAATAACACCGGCAAGTGGGTAAAAGCGTGTTAGGGTTTGTGAAAGTGATTCCTTCAGTAGTGCTAATGATGTTTTGAGATGATGATTAGAGTTAGAAGAAGCATATGCATCATCATCGTGATTCGGATTGAGAGTACTGGGATTGGGATTGGGATTGGGATTGGGATTGGGATAGAATAGGAGAATTGGAGCATAGGGAGCAGGAATGAGGTGATCCAAGAGAGAGAGCTTCAAGGTTCTGAGGTGACAAGGTGTTGGGGAAGATGGTTTGATCCTCTCTTTCACTACTATTTTGACTTCCATCTATAATTTCAGTAGTATCTTAATTGGAAGTTGGTGGATGGTGCAAAAGAGGCTAAATGTTCAATGTCATTCACAAAGCTAGCTAATAACTGTGTAAGTATCAAAGCCTTGCATATATATATATATAACAATTAAGTGGGATAAAATCAAGATGGAGTACCTCTATAATTGGATGCTTTAAACCTCAGTCTTATTTGCAGTTTGTAACAAAAGGAATCTTAGGTAATAAACTGCCACTTGAATTGTCGCATGGGGAGCTGTCCTTTTCCAATTAATCATCAAAAACACCCATGCATCCTTTTATTCAGCTTAATATAATTTCGAGTATGTTTTTTTTTATTATGATTTTTATTATTATTTTTTTTATCAATAGTTATAATAATTTAATTAACTTCAACTTGGGTCATAATCATATATATATTACTATATGAGATAAGAAGGGATCGAAAAGTTGTTCAGCCGGCTGAAGCTTCTTTATGTTACAATAAGAAGCATGCTTTCATAGGTCTCTTAAACATGCAATTGCTTATGATAAGTTTTTGGATTTAGGTAAAGTACAACCATACCTTACCTAAGGTTTGGACACCTATACAAGTTGAATATTTTTTTTTTGGATAATGACACCCTTTTAAATAAAGACACTTCCATCCCACACATAATGAATTGATCTTATTGCCATTTGGCTTATAAATTTCCTAATTTAAATAATGAAATTACCTTTCTACCCTTGTATAATATTTATAAAAAAATAAAAAAAATCAAACATAAAAGCCCATAAATATACGTTTGTATATAAATATTATCAATGGACTATTTGTTGATCAAACATCAAACCCATCATAATTATCAATGAATGTTTCATCAAACTCATCCGCTGTGGAACTCTCACCCACTATCACAACCACCACTTCACCTCATCAAACTTGCTAACTGAGATGCGATTGGACTAGGCTACGATGAACTTCAAGCTGTCAACAACAATGTAATTAGGGCTAAAAGAAATCGAGGAGGATAAAATCAAACAGAAAGGATGATGCGAATTCAAAACCCAAATCTTCAAAAAACACACATACACACACAAATCTTCACACACACACACACACACACACACATATACCTCCAAGATCGTTGTGATGATCGTGTCATCTTTTTTTTTTTTTTTGGAATATTTTTTATTATTTATTATTTATTATTTATATTTATTTTATTATTTCTTTCTTTGTTGCCTTAGGGTTTTGAGAACTCGAGGTAGGGTTTTGGTGTCCGGGATTGGCTTCTGACACTTCATGCATACATGATAGTGTATTTCATTCTCATGGTATGACTCGTTTATATAGTAACACATACTTGTTCATTTTCATTTTCATAGGGGTATATGTGCTAACTTTGTTTTAGGACATTTTCATTTTTGTGGTCCTCTGTGTGATTATCTTTTGGAGATATTTTATTTTGGGGCATTAGTGCAATAATCTTGTTATATTTCAAGGAAGGACTTTTGTGCAACTAGGGAAAGGTTAGGACATGTGACGGCCCTAGTTTTTCAAGCCAGTGTATCCTGTGATGAACCGAAGATTGACCTGATAACGGATCCAAATGCGGAAGCGGAAACATAAAAACATTGAGAACAATGAGGAAACGAATGATCAAAAAGAAAAATTGAATAGGCCCCCAAGGGCAAAATAGTCTTTTCACATGGAAGCAATGTCTTTAGAATGTACATCATTCCTAAGACATGTCCATCACTTCCCATGAAGTCACAGGACTCAAAGAAAGTAGCGGAAACAAATAAAAAGAAATCCGGACAAATTTAGCCCTAAGGGCAAAATAGTCATTTTTGAAAATATAAAATCGGGTGCTACCGAGTACACCACCATGAAGACAGCAAAAAATGAACCAAGTTAGACCTAAGAATCACTTGATTCGGGGTTCGGATGAAGAAGATATGAAACTCCAAAGTTTCATAAAAATCAAACTTTGGGGTTCTGAAATTAGTGTGGCAAGGGTATTTTACAAGGGCTAAAATGGTCTTTTTAGACAAAACCAGATGCAAATGAGCATACTATTAGATATACAAGAAAAAAATAATGAATTTAGACTCAAAAATCACTTGATTCGGAGTTCAGATGAAGAAGATATGAAACGTCAAAGTTTCAAAAAAACTAACTTTTGGGTTTAAAATCAGTGCGGCAAGGGTATTTGACAAGGGGTAAAATGGTCTTTTAAAATATAATTGGATGCAACCATGCATAGCGTTGGATATACAAGCAAAAACTAATAAACTTAGACTCAAAAATCTCTTGATTTGGAGTCCGAATGAAGAAGATATGAAGCCTCAAAGTTTCAAAAAAATCAACTTATTTTCTAGGTAAAAATCTGGGCAGGAATAGTGTTTTGACAGAAAACATCGTTTGATTTTTTTCCCCACAACTGAGACTAAAGACGGACCCTTAAACGAACTTTTATGGAAAAACACGAAGAAGAAGAAACCCCCCTTAAAATCACATTTTCTACCTGGCCACATGGAAGAAAACAAAAAAAAAAACACACGGTAAAATCCCTAAAATTCCCCCTAGATCAGCATAGATCAAGAAGTCCAAAGAGCTGCTATAAGATTTTTTTTCAGAATCTATCCATAACTGAGAGCAAAAACGGGCTATCAAATGAATTTTTATGGCACTGTAAAATGCCTAAAATGCCCCTAGATCAGAAGATGGCTAAAAACTCAGAAAATGCAACTTTGCACCAAGTATGCATTTGACCCTAAATGCATTTCTAGGTTGAAACAAATGAGCACACAAGTGTAAATAGTGATTCCAAGCATGCGGGAATGGTCCGCGGCTTCCGAGAAGCCCCGACTCAAAATCTGACCCCCCGACGGCCAAAAATGAGAAAAATGGACTTGAAATGGAAAATTTGAAATCTAAAATTATAAAATGGAGTCAAATTACCATTTGGCCCTTTGCCACACTTGAAGCATGATTAATAAGATCCTATGAAAGAATAAAAATGGAATTCCCACACCCGATACAAACATGGTGAAGCAATGACTTGGCATTTTTCAATATTTTCATAATAAACCTTGAAAGTGAAAATGCATAGAATACAAATTAGATGTCATTGGTCTACAACCTCATCTCATACATGTCAAATACATTGTAAAGAGTGTACTTATATACACATTACATAAATATGATCAAATTTATACATTTTTGACATATAATGCTATAAATGGCATTTCAAGCCAACATTTACAAGAAATGAGAACTTCAAGTTTACAAATCATCCAAGAATGATGTGAATCCTGAACCTTGATCCCGGTACCTAAAAAATGTCCCCACTATGTGGATGAGTAACATAAAGCTACTCGTAGGAGATGAGCATGCAAGGACCTAACGTTTTACAAACCTATTAAGTTACTATAATTTAAGTCAAATGGTCATGCTACCTAGCGTCTATGTCAAATGTGAGACTCAGGGAGCATCGTAAGCTACTTTAGAGCATTTCTAGCATAAACCACATTATTCAAGCAATTTAAACAACATAGGAGCATGCGGTACAACGTAACAAAATAATTAATTTTCAAGTATACGTACACAAGTATACACTCGATATTGAAATGTATTTAAGACAAGTATACAAAACACAAGTATACTAGGTTAACTCAAAAGTAAATCATCAATATACAAGTATACACACTAAGTACGCTAAGCAATATTGAAATAGAAATGCAACATATATATTTAAGTATACATTTCTAAGTATACTAGGTAATGTTGACATACATGGCATACAAGTATACAAATTCAAGTATACTAAGCATTTTTGATATATAAGGCATACAAGTATACGAATCCTAGTATACTAAGTAAGAAATGAAGTATCATGCATCCAAGCACAAGTTAAAAGTAATCGACGATTATAACTAGAAATTGAATGCGAAATCAATAATTAGCGGAAAGACAAGGACATAAGGTCTCAATGACCAAGCAAGTGGTTTCGGGTTACTAGCCCGCAAGGTACTACCTAGTGCGCAACTAAACTCAGAATAAAACCGTTATATTGGTGATTTTGGGTTACCATCCCTCAGGGTACCACCCGGTGTGCACTATATGAAATAGAGGGAACTCTCATCTCCCGTACTAGAGCCATGCCCTAGCCGTAACAATTTTTAATGTCCATACAAGCCTTCCAAAAATCATCAAGTTGTGCAATAAGTGTATCACATATACATAATGCACCGAAATCAATCACCACGCACAACCAAGTCATGGACTACACACAAGCCATGCCCTAAGCATTCAAGCTACAATGACATATTAAATGTCATATAAGTAAAATGTGAATACTTACAAGTTAAATCATAACTTCAACTCATGGAATACTATCATGTAATCATATAACAAGTTCCAAACTACAAATTAAGCAAGAATACAACATCAATGCCTAATTACCTCAATGGAAGCAAAAAAGGGAATTTAATTCTCTTAAGTAATTAAATTCTCAAGATTTCAAAGCAACTCCAAATATTCTACAATTCAAATATGTTAAAGGTTCTATCAAGGCCTATTTCAATTTCATGATACAAGTTAATTCTACATTAGGCATCACTAGGTGAATTAAATTCCATACAAGGAAAATAATTAAACAAAGTATTAAAGGCTCATTCAAATATTCTCAATTTAGTATATATGATAGAACATGTCAAGCTCATCAACAATATCAAGTCAAAAATCCAATTAAGTGATTAGAACACTTTGAGTAAAATTAATTAATCTAATTAATTAATTTTCTCTAGATTTTAAAATAATTCCAAATGTCCTCAAATTCACATACGTTAAAGAACATACTAAGGCCTAATTTAATATCACATTACAAGTTGATTCCATACTAGTTACAACCATGTGAATTAAATTTTTATTCAAGTAAAGATTAATTAAAAGTTACATTACTTATTCAAATCCTCCCAATTTAATATATGTTAACAAGAATATCAAGATTTAATTTAATACCATGCCACAATTTAATTTAAAACTATATACAACAATAAGAATTAAATCTTAAATATAGAAAATAATTAAATTAAATTCTAGAATTAATACAAAGGCATGCTTACAAGTTGTATATGCTTATAAAACCATCAATACAATACATAATTAAACCTAAAACATCCCCTACCTCATTTTGTGATGAAATTACAAATCCCCACCGAAACGAAAACGCTCCGAATCTGACAATACTCCTAGGTTTTGTCGGGGACAACGCCGCGAACATTAAACTCCAAAGTGGACCTACCAAAATCCTAACTTGACCTCAAAACTGAACTCAAAAGCTGGCCAAAAACACGTTCTAATAAGGGGGAAAGATGCACGTCATCAAGGCCTTCGATAAACGCTAAGGCACTATGACATTTTACACGAGGGAAGAAGGTGGAAAAGAAGAAAAGAAGGTGGCAGCCATGGAAGGGCTGTGGAATCAGGTCCAGAACATGTGGAGAAG